CATTGATTACCAACTGGTCATACTGGCAAAGTGCAGACTAGTGTAATGGGTGCATTGATTACCAACTGGTCCAAGAGGTCAAGTGCGAACCATATAGTGTAAAGTAAATTGGGAGTTGTCAATGATCAATAGGTGGTGGTTTGAAAACGAGAGATCATGTAAATGTGGATAAGATCAAAGAAAGCCAAGACAAAAAAACACATGTATATAGTCTTTGCCGCCCTTGACTGCAAGCAGCATTTTAAATTTTCCGTCTGGAGATAAGAAACTTGAAAGCATGAGAACTCAGGACAGGGAACTTCTCACGACGTTATTTGAAACAAATATCTGTTTTGTAGGGTCGTACTTCTATATCCCCGAGTTTTAAGAACTCGAAACTTTCAATATAAATTTATAAATTTTTTACTCTATTCCATTAAAAAAGAAAAAACTTTTACTATTAAAAAATCCCCCCAAAGATCCACTCTTTTTGTGCGAGCAAATCCCATAATCTCACCTTCAAGCGGTGTTTTTTCCTTTTTTTTTTTTTTTTCCGCCCGGTATTTGAAGCTTCGTCCCGATTAATCCGGACTCGACCCGCGTCGCACACCTGAAAATGGTGAGTAAATCTCTCAACAGAGGTTGCTACGTATACAAGATCTCAAATTCGAGACCTTACTTAAACTGGAACAAACCATTTACTACTTGATTCAACCCATTGTTGATCCTTCAGGCGGTGTTTGGGTGGGAGAATTTTCTCCTTAAATTTTTTAAAATTATTTTATAAGGTTATATATATTTTTATATATTAATATTAAAATAAAATAATAAAAATAATATTTTTATTTTTATAAAATTTTCTTCTCATATTTTTTTATAAGAAAAAAGTTTATTTATAATTATCTATGAATTCATTTAATAGCTTTTCTTAAAAACTTTTTCTATATCAATTTTTTTATTAAATACAATAAAATTAATAATCTAATAAAATTCTACCAAAATTTTATTATAAAATTTAATAACTTTTTATAAAATTCTTCTTAATTTTTTTAAAAATATTTGCTTAACTACCTTTTTTATAAAACTTTTTCTCGAAAAATGGCATTCTTTCTAACCAAACAGGCTTGAAGTATTCAATCATTTAACCTAGGTCTCACTTCAACAATGGAGTGGGGAATGGAAGTCATCAACTAGGCTATAAACCCTTCTAATTGGGCTCG